GAACACGCAGTTCGCGTGGACTGCTGGTTCTTTTGACTGTGGCATCCTGTTGTGTCCCGACCCGGTCGAAGTCAGCGAGCCTCCTAGTTGATTGGCCTGGTGAATAAATATGTTGTAGTTTTTCGGGTACAGTTGTTCGATCAATCGATGACTTGACGGACTTAATCAGCTTTTCAAACTTCGTGAACAGTTCACACCTGCCGACGTCATGCACTTATTTGCAGAATTTGCACCGGCGTCTGCAAAATTGAGCGTCGTTTCCTGCTGCACCACACGCACCACAGGTACCCCATGGTCGGCGTTCTCACAAGTAGTCTTGCCGATGACGCTAGTTGACTTGGTCACGTTGATCATTTCGTGCCTCATGCTCAGCTGGTACGCCCTCCCGACCCATAGTGTTAGGACCAGATCGTACCCGCTTGCCGCGTTCTATCGTCAACATCACCCTGTTCATTCCTCTGCCCATCTCCATGTAATCGGTGTCATGGTTCGGTTCGTAGTCGTTCGAGTGGTCATAGTCGCTTTCTTCATCCTGTGACTCGTACTGATCAGCGTGTTGTCTCAGTTCTTCAGAGACATCCCGTAAATCGTCCGTATTCGCCGAAGCGAGGGTGATATGGTGGCTATAATCTTGCTCGTATCACCCTTTCCGTCCTTTGCGACAAGGTTTTCTGTCTCTGCTGAAGATGCTGTGTTCGTCGCGTCTTTCTCGGTGATCGAATCGGTCACCACCGGTTCGCTTTACCCCACTCTGGGATTAAAGGGGTTAATTTCTCTACCCCACATCAGCTATAATGTCGTCGTTTAGCTTCACTACGGGATCGGATGGCGTTGTTGACGGCGAATAGGATATACAACGAGGCGCTGTCTAATTCGGCGATGGCGAGCTTGGTGAATCTTGAACACTAAAGAATGACAATGTATTGGCATTGACAACAAAGGCACTTACGAAACGTTTGATTCGATTACGACGACCGACTGAAATAACGCTGCGGCGAGTGGTCAAGCTGAATCTGAAAAATGCAGAACGCGTAAGCTCCTTAAACTGCATCACGATCCCGGTGATCCTTAATCACCCGATCCCGCGTCCGGAGACGTGGGGTGAGTCGAAGAAAATCGATAAGACATGCGTGTACATACATGCTGTTGGTGTCTGAAAGTCTGAGGTCGTGGTTAGTGAGCCTGTGGGCTCTGGTTTAAAATTCGGGACCTAGGTCGGCTTCATCAAGGACTTCGAGATCGCGACTTCGATTCTAGACGTTGCATTTAGAATGTTTAGGACGGTGAATGCGATCATGACATGCAAACAGACGATCTTGAATTCTAGTTGTCATGGGGAGAGCGCGATATGAATGTAGTTGTATTCCCCGATGTAATTTATATCGGCAATATGGAGGTTTCGAACAACTTTTCAGCGCTGGCGATGATGTCCTGAAGTAGCCAAAAAATTAACATCGCCTAATTTCTTTCTTGTTTGCTGACACGCAGCTGATTGTCAATTTAGTTGCTCACTTGCAGCTGCCAGCGAAGAGCATCGTTATTTTTTTAAATTGTTAACGAATTCTTACGAGAAGTTTTGGGGAAGTGGGTCTAGTAATTTCGTGACAGAAGGACTGATCGCGCTCCGGCTAACTCTGGTGTGGCAAACGAGTGGTAGATACGACCATAACAGTCTCATTACGTCAGTTGGACTAGTGGGGATAGTCGGTGTAATCGAAATTCCGTTCTGAGATTATAGGGTGACTGGTGTGGAGAAGGAGTATTTACGCCGTACGCAATCGCGGTCGGCGACGAGATCGTGATCAAGTAGTCGACTGTCTGGGGTCTAGTGAAGAGTCGGGATCACAAGAATCTTGGGATCGACTCTCCACCACAGAGTCAATTGATCCATTCATTCGATGTGAATACTGGTCGCAGATAAACCTCCTGCGACATCGACTTGCGCCTGGTCTAAATCTTCTTTAACTTACCAATTTATCAGCAGGTTGACGTGAACGTTCTTGTCCAAATTTGGACAATTCGGTGAGAAGGAAGTTTTAGTCAACCTAGTGTGCTTCGACTTGGGTATATAGACTAGCGCTCATTTCTTTCGCTATTGCTGCTATCTTACCCAGAACGGCTAGATCTTGGTCATGGATCTTCCGGGGCTTTTGTTAATCCTGCAGATGCAATTCGTTTAATTGATCAGAAATGGCGGTAGTCTCGCGATAGAGATGATCAAAATCACCATCTCGATATGACTGTTCTGCGCACAGCAACTTCCATTGACGACTAATGTACAAGGACTGATGCCGATTTTCAGACAAATACATCTATTATTCGTGGGAAAATAAAAAACGCCCCGTTTAATCACGAAATTTAAAATGTCCCAGATACTTAGAAAATAGAAAAAGGCCCCACGTCCTAGTTTACTTAAGTTAATCAGGACAAAAAGAGTTATATCCACGTTGTCGTTCAACTAACTGACAAAAACTTTGACGAATACGCTTAAGGCACCATCGCACATTTCCTTCCTGAAATATGCCTACAGACGAAGAAGTCTACAGGCATTATAGTCATCAATAAGAGCTACACAGAAAGAATAGAGTCATTTTGGTCTACTGTTATGATTAAGGTCTTATCAGTATTCAATTTGATAAGCAGGAAGGGAATTGAGATCCCACAAGTAGTGCAACATTTATAGCAACCGCATCACCTACAGCAACAACAAAAGCAGCAGCAACATCAATAATAGCAACTGAAACAACAGTAAATAAGCAATTATATTAATATCAACAACACAAGTACCGACTGACTGTGGTTACGGCCGCGACCGATGATACGACGACGCGTTTATGTCCTCATAACATCCTCTGCGCCTGCAACTGATGGCTGCAAGCGCAATACGCCCGCAACTGGTGGCCGCAAGCGCAGCACGCCCACGGCAGAACCCTCTCCGCGGCTTCCGAAACAGGGCGGGGTTGGTCACGGTCGTAAAGTGGTATAACAAAGATGGTTTAAGACGTGGATTATATGCGTGCCACATTAACTTGAGTATACTATGACGGGGGAATCTTTTTAGTTCCAAGATTAAATAAGCATTTTTTTGCCATTATTCGTGCTAGGGAGGTGCTTCTAAGATGAACGGATCGTTTAATATGGCATGCTGTCGCTGGAAAAGGGATACGTAAAAAGAAGCCTATATGTACGGAAGAGATATGATTATTCTCAGCGATCTCTTTTAAGTCAGCTGCTCAATACAGCTGAAGATAGTATATTTAATTTAATTAGGATGAAGGCGATCGATCGAATCACCAAGGCATATATAGTGGCAAAGGTGTATTACACGTCGTCCACATGCACTGCCGAAGCTTAAGTAGAAGAGATCGTTACCTGAGTCGAAATACATTCGAGGACGAACCATCGCGGCAGATGATGTGGGTGAATTACAAACCAAAGCGATCTAGATGCTCTGACATTTCGACAGGAGGCGGAAGGGTGCATCAGCATTCGAGCGTTTGATATCGTCAGTCGATTCACGATATCGAGTCAGCTTGATGAACTGGCGATTTAAGTGACGTGCCGCGATGTTTAAAGAGTTATAACATCGGAACATCCGACGGTACCGGTGAAGTCAGACGGTTGGAAGGGGAAGACGGGCGAGGCGACATGATGACTTATGGCATGTTTGATAAAATCAGTATACATAGGGTGGTGCTTGTACTATTGACCTCAATATAGGTGGCGGGCGAGAAAATGCATTGTGGACAACGACGTCCTTACTCCTTGTCCGTCTTAAATAAATACATTATTCGGATGCGTGACAACCAATAGCTGGGAATTAAAACTCGTTTTTCGTACACATCGATAAAAGTTTAAGTAAAACGACCTCGATCTAGGACCAGGTACCGCTTTTTAAGAGCCTCGATCGGTCTGTCGCATTTATACTTTCCGATTCAGGTCAAACTACATGGAAAGTGGAACATTGGCTGATGGAAATTGGAAAAAAGGTGACTAATACCTATGTAATGAGGCCCTCGACGGTTGGAAGGATGCATTGACTGATGAGATCAATAATACACCCCGTGTAATGGGGCACTGGAACTACGAACTGGCAGCAGTGCGTAGTAAGTTCTCACTGAATGCAGTGAGAACCAGTGCCCTCGTTAACTTGCGTACACCGTACGTGCTCATAGAAAGACAAGGCACCAAATGACATAGTTTAGTAGAGGGAAAACGTAAAACTGTACAAATATATAAAGCCCTATAGGTCTCTTACTTCTTGTCTTGCTCTAAAAGTACCAAACCATGTATGCTGACGTCTACTATCCACCTATTGCGCGCGTCTAGCAGCGATTGGTGGATCGATTTAATCGTTATATTGATCAATGAGTAGACCCTTGGGTCATCGCAACGATATCACTGTAAGGTGTATGAGACAATCTCCATCGTACGTGCCAAAAGGGCCAGTAGAAGGTATCTAAATAGATGCGGTGAAGTTGTTTTCAGCCTCTTTGGCTCAGTATATATTAATATTCCTAATCTCTAATCAATCACGATGCATTAATATTTTCGACCTATTCGGTTATTGGTAATTTGTTTTTCGATCAAACGGCAGAAATAATCTCAGAGGTCTGGCGGTCTGGCACGAGCTGCGCCAATCCGAGTGTGTATCTCTCTGTCTCTCCATCAGCAGTGTGCATAAAAAGTGATAGCAAGACCCTACACTTGCCGACCGAGACCAATTTTCCATTCTATTTCCGTCACGTTTCGCTCATGTTATACGATACCCCGGGTCACATGTTCCCATAACAGTGGTCCGGATTATGCTTGCCCCCATCGATGCTTTTACTTGCACCGGAGATTGTCTTCGTGCGGCGCGTCAATGTGCTTCTATATACCCCTCCATTCTTGCACTTGTTGGCAGAGGTAACACAAGTTGTACGATCTTCAGGGACTGGTATCCACGTGTCACACATAATCGTTTGCAGTTCGCCATGCGCCAACACTGCGCTTTCAGCTTAAACTCCTTCAGGTGCGTTCTCCTCGGCGGCCTCCTGCCATGGCGTGTGCACGCTGCCCACCGTAAGCAAATCCTGGCGAACGCCCTTTACGAGTCGCAAACGTCGGTTCTCGTTGAATCCGTTCGGGCACATCTTGGTCTTGTGGTCGACCAGCGCCTGGTTAAGGACCTTGATACTCGTGCACACACCATAAGCCTCCAGTAAATGCTGCTGGTCGTCGCCACTTTGCTTGGCTAGCGACCAGACGCTCGCAGGCGGTGACGCCAGCAGCCACGAGTCGCACGCAAACAAGTTGTGGGGCAGAAGCTGCTTGTCAAATAGCCATTTGAGGCCACGGTCGTCGCTGGCTTCGTACGACTGGCGCATATGCAGCAGAGGCGGCGCTTCTCCTGGAATAATGGGAGTCGCAGGGTCCGCGCACGGATTGCGCTTCAGCATACTGACAAAACCAGTGTAGTCGTCCCCTTTGTTGCCAAGCGCCAAATTGTCAAACGTCGTATGCTTTACTCCGTGCTTTGCTGCTGCAAGCAAGTATCCCAGCATCTCGCTCATCCAGAACTCGCGGTTCCTTTGCTCACGCATGAGCACCGTCATGTTGCAGTAGTCGTCAATCAGCTGGGTCAGGTCCTTGCGTGTGAGAGCGTACGGAGGACCGACAGCGAAAAACTCAGAGGCGTTGGCCTCCGACACCTTTGCGCATTCGGGGCAGATGGAGCTGCTATTCTTGAAGGCCGTCGTGCCCAGATACTGCGACCATCGCTGCGCCACCGCGACGCCATCCGTCACAGTATCGCTCACATTTTCGCGCGAGCCACTGTACACAAAAAAGCGCTTGTACTGTCGCATGCCTTCAATGACCTCCGCGTCGCGCGCGTAGTCTCCCGAGTTGACACCTTTCGCGGACGTCACTCGACCACCAGTGTTCACGGCAAATCGCCGGATGAACAAAAAGTCCGGGTCCAGCACCACAACAAGGTCCTCGCGCACGGGCGGATTGGCAGACTCCAGCCAGTCCCGAAGTCCAAACGGCTTGTTGTACGGCACATAATCATCAGGCGTCGACGATTGCTGCTCCGTCTCGTTGGAAGCTTCTATCGGAGCAGGGAGTGAGCGGAAGTCGCGCGTCACGTGGATACGCAGGTGCGGCGAAGACTGATACGAACGACGAAGCAGCTCCTCCTCCTCGTCAATCGAGCAACCGCTCACAATGCGAGTGAGCGCCCCGCGCTGACCAACTCGTGCAAAACTCTGCGCAAGCGCCTCGCTCTGCCAGTGCTGGTGCGGCTCGCAAGACGTCGTAAAGACAAAGTGCAGCTCGTCGCTCTCTTCTTGCCCTGGCTTCACGTTGCTCTCGTTCACCACGTCACTGCTCTGCTTTTGCTTATAGTCGCCAAAGTAGACGGGTGGGTCCGTTTCCAGGGGCGAGCCATCCGCGAGCGCTACAGCAGTGCGCCACGCTTCCTCTTGAAACTCCATTGGCATGCGACGGTTGTGATTGTAGCCAGTAGGGCACACGTGCGCGCGGTAGCTCTCCGACGCGCTATTGTACGCCTCCACTGCCAGACACACACTAATCATGTGGCGCCGACGAAGCACGTTCGGCACGTGCTCGTACCCACTCGTGTGGCTCGCGAGGTGCCACATATGGGCCGGCGGCTGGCGCAGCAAATACGCGTCGCACGCAAAAAAGTCCACTGGCACCCGATCGGCAAAGAAACTCCACTCGCGGCCGTCGATCCACTGCGGGAGCGTCAAGTTGAGCGCGCGGATCGAGATGGGGTACGATGACAGCGCCAGATCGCGACCAGTGGCGCGCTCGCTGCACGGGTTGTGCTTCACGTCGTCGGCAAAGTCCCAGTTCTGGTACCGCGAGGGGTAGTGGTGGACACTGAGCACACTCGCAATGCTAATCGCTGTCTGCGTGTGCGCCGCCGCAAGTGGCACTGCCAAGTGCCGCTGCTCGTGCGCGAGTTGGGCCCACACGTCCACTGCCGTCGGCAGCAGCTGCCGCCACACGCGCACAGACGCGACAAACGGCGCAATTGCAGCGTACGCGCGCCAGTCACTGAGCTGCAGCGCCGGAGAGTCCGCCGGCAACACCCGCGCGAGATCCTCGCGCGACAGCGGCAGCGTCTGCGGCCAGTACCACGCCGCGTCTTGTCCCGCAATCATAGGCCGTGACGCCGTCGTGTCTGTCCAGAGCGTCTGCACGTCCAATAGCTTTGTGACGATCGCGTCACTGTCAATAGCCATCACGAGATCATCATCTGCTGCTGCTCTGTCTGCTGCTCGGTCGGCTCCGTCTGCTGTGATGGAATGTACCCACTTGGCCAGTACTGCGACGTGTAGAGTCGTTGTGAGCAGTTGCGCGCCAAAGAGCGGCGAAGTTGAAGTGGGCGCAGCTGACGGTCCGTCGGGGAACGTGAGCGTCTGCACGTCGTGTCGCGCGTCCTGTTGGCGCCCGAGTTGCGCGGCGTCGGCGGCCGAACAGTTGTACAGCAGCTGCGTGAGGTTCCCGCTGTAGCCCGCGCGGCGCAGTGTGAACGACAGCACTTTGGCCTGAACGGCGTCGCGTGGGCGACACGTCGACGTGAACACAATGTGCTGTATAGGACGTGGGGCGGCGCTGTCGATGTCGCTGTCTTTGGGGGCTGCTGGGCGGCGTTTCATTTGATGTTTGTATGCGTCGATGGGCGAGTGGGTCGTGGCGGCGGAGGACGACGCGAAGAAGCGCACGTTGAGGTACGTGTAGAGCAGCACGAGGAGCGCGAGGAGCGCGAGGGCGTAGCGGCGCGTGGCGAAGCGCGTGCGGTGGGGAGAGGCGGCGGCCATAGGGCGGCGACGCGGCGGCTGCCGGGACGGAAGCATGAGGCGGGACGGCGAGGGGGATATGGGACGGTAAAGGCGGATGTTTAGGATGGGGATGAAGTGTGGATGTGTGGGTGGATGTTTAGGATGGGAGGATGTTTAGGATGGGTGTGGAGTAGAAAGTTAGGATAGTTGGGTGGATGGAGCGGATGTAATGTGGCGGAGCGTACGAGAGCTGGTCGGAAAACTGACTTTGTCCGCTCTTGGAGCGGACCTTAGGGTATGACTTGACTTCTGCAGCGTCGTGGCCGAGTTGGGTGGATGGGTTCGCCCCTCGTGATTTTGGGCAGCTCTGCTGGCGGACGACCAACTCGGGTCACAGTGATGTCGTCGATGACGTCGGCAGATGTCGCAAGAGAGTGAGCGACACGCGCTGTATAATGTGATTGCGTCGCTGGTCGACGGTTGACTCTACATTCGTCGCCTGCTGCTTGCATGGCTTGCGATGCGTCAGGGTGACAGCTAAATATTACAAAAAGATATCGACATCGGGGATGACGGGGATGTCGAGTCGTCGCAGATCATCTATTCAGGACTGAGGACGCAGCTTTGTCTCGACATCAAGTCGATGGTGCATGACCATTGTGTGGTGTGAGGGTGGAGTGGAGACATTGGCGCACTTGTTTTGGGACTGCTCCTATGCTGTCGCGGGGTGGACCAAGCTGGTCGGGCACTGGATGGGGGATCGTGCATCTCCCAGGTACTCAAACACTACTTTGGCGCGTGTGCCAGCAGACAGTTCGCCAGCATACCAGAGAACAGGAAGGCACTCCTTGCGGACCGATTTCAGGAGGATCAGGAAGCGGCTGAGCGGATGTGGAAGCAAATATGGCACATTCTCGCGACGATCTGTAAGACCACGCTATGAGCGGACCGGAACGACGCGGTCTATCAGGCACTTAAGAAAGACATTACCAGCACTACGACCTATATTTACGCTACATGCATCCGCCAACTTCGCGCACTCGCGACCAGAGCGCACAGACAAGTGTCTTCGACTGTTCGGGGAGCCATGCTATATGCGTGCATCGAGTTACTCGAACACGACCCGAAAGGGTCACCAAGCTTACCTGGGCACAGCCCAGATCAGCCCCCGGATCCTCCGGCGCTGACATCTTGGCTAAGGCTGTACCAGAGATCATGCACATAGTTAATTCCGTGTAAATAGACCATCTGCGAACAACAACAAATATTGTGTGGTGTGATGCGGTCATTTGCAGTCCTAATGTGTAATTTGTGTAAATATCTTAGCGTTCTGCCGAGTCGGCAGCAAAGCACAGTATTCTGATGTGTGTCATCTGTCTGATATGCACAAGTAGTGGTCAGATATTAGACAAAGCCGGCGTTCATCTGCGTGTGTACAATATCGCGTCAGATCGACTTATGGAGCGCAACGACGAGGGCTAGTGCCACAGGGCACCTTTGTCCCTAACTTGCTAAGCAGTACCAACATGAAAGGAGGACGATGGCTTATCATGATGGCTAGAAAGAGAGGTCTGATCGTCCATTAGAGCTACTTATCACTCGTAAGATGTCTGTTGTGTGGAAACCACCTCGGCCATCTATTATGACACGAACTCTCGCCTACCACGTTTCTCATTCTGCTGGCTCGATGCTCCAGACGTCACGGAAGACACTCTCGAAAGGCCACGTGATAATGACTGTTGACCAAGTCCGGGGTTAGAGCTTTGTGCGCACGCTTGACCGGATGGCCGGGCTGGGCTACGCGTCGCTTCGCGCTTCATCTGCTTCAGGGGACAGAGGGCGCATGACTAGGAGGCCTGTTCCACTTAGGAAGTCCTAGCGTGCCATCTTGTCGTAATCCTTGGCCGCTTCCGTGGTGATCGACTTGCTCTGCCCTTCGGGCCGATCCCATTGCACAATCTAGTGCAGACGTGCCCAGGCGCATCACGAGACGAAGAGTATCGTGGCCTGGTGCTTCAAGACATAAACGACCGGTACTGGATCTCAACAGGTCATCACGTTCTTAGAAGAGTTCACTTTGTGGGAAAGGGTATCGCGCGCAGCGAACGAGTCGGCGCGAGGGGAGGCACTTCGTGAAGAGCAGGAACTAAAAAAGTCACGGGGATGCCGACCTCTGTCGGCCTTCCCTGTGCCGCGGGATGCCGGAGGATTGCTTCCCTCTCGGGTCGCACGCTGCGTTGCCTCCCGTAGCACGCGCAGCGGAGAAGAGCCCCCCCTTTTCACGTTGGCCCCACGAAGGGGGACTTCCCGCCCAAGGTAAGGGGGGCAGATGACTGGCTCTTAGGAGGTCTTCGTCTCGGTCCGTTGTTGCTTGAAGAGCCCATATTGGGAAGTGGTTTATCATGGCTACAGATGGCTTGCCGGTAAAGAAAATGATCTTTGTTGAAGCCACGCTGAACCTGCGACAACAAGATATTAACTGTAGGACATCACGAAAGATACGCTTTATGAGATAGAGAGAGAAGCAGACGTGTCTATTTTACCATTTACCGGTTGCAAGATGTCCGATAGATCTTATGCCTGGTTAGCAACGCCGGTGCCTCGTTCGAGTCCGGTGGTTGTACGGGGCTGGTCACCATAGGCGACGGCTCTCTTGGTTGCCTTGCGATGTGTCGATGACATAATAGCAGGCGTGCTCCTTGAATTTTCGTCTCGGTCCTGCGGAATTCCCACTTTGCTACATCCCGGAGTTGCCGCATGCCGGTTTGCCAAAACGCCTCGAAGCTTCTTGCGAGCGTGACTTCCTCGCGTTAAAAAACGACTATGTTCCCTTGGATTTACAACGTAGTTACACAGATGCTGCTCAGCAGACGCCAGAGCCTCCGCCAGACCTTCGCATATTCCGTATCTTCGTCCGGATGATCCCGCGTTAAACGGTCTTCGGCCACCTTGGATAGCGTCGGCGCCGACCTACTTGCACTATTGGAGCGAAAGTCGTGGAGCTGATTCAGCCCCCAGCTTTCTCCCGTCCAATGGCATATCACTTTCTGCCAACAGGACTGCGCGCAGGGGCAGGATTAGAAGATGTGTTCCAGCGTCTCGGTCACCCCACGACGGCAATGAAGCTTGTGACAAGAGGGGTCAAGCCCCCTTCCCGTAAAATACAGGTTTAGTTGCCGGATCGCGGCTCGATAGCAGACCCAGACCTGGTATGCTGTGAGTTCGGTGCCGTGCACCCACAGATAAACTGGTGTCTGTGATAATGCGTCCGCTTGCCAAGCGCTAGTACGCGCTGCCTCCTCGAGCCTGGACACCGGTAGAGTGAGTGCAATTCCTGACCCTTTCAACAACCGAAATGGTTAGGTTTTAATGCCCGCTGGACGTGTTTGTTTGCGATAGAGTCCAGGACACTCCACGGAAGCCCGTAGACTTGCGGATGCGCGTAAAAGACGATGCCTTGGGCGGCTTTACTCCGGCGTAGCGTCAGACAGTCGGCCGCCGTTCGCTAATCTTCAACGTTGTCTGCCACAATGCACCAATGGAAACCGTCTTGCTACTGCTCGAGCTGGATAGTAATTCGCTGCTCCGGGTACTGACACTCACCTGTCCCCTGGGCACGCCCCGGCGCTAGAAGTCTCCAGTCATATGCCCGTACCAAGTCGTGTGCGTGCCGCAGGAGCAAGGGTCGCTGAACATGGAGGCTGGCCCCGACTGTCATATGTGGCGCACTCAGCAGTATCGCAACTTCCTAGCGACGCAGCTTGGCCTGTTGATGGGTTCTGTGATCGACCGAGGAGATGAATACGGAGTAGGTGTGGACTCCGATTCTCTACAGGCCCCGCTCCTCGATGTAGCAAGGCCGAATTCGGTCATACTTTATGGCGGTCAGAGGGTCTCCCCGTCGATCTAATATACAGGAGCCATCAGCCCAGGAGTACGTGAGCCAGAAGGCTTGCTCTTCATCCGTCATCGCTCGGAAACAGCGGGTAAGTGACCGTGAAATCTCTACGGCCCATTCCATCGATGTAGTACAGCTGATGGCTGCCGAAGCCAGACTTTCAAGCTCCTCCATGTACCTTTGCTGCCTGCTTGCGAGACCAGGTAGACTGGAGGCCAGCCACGGCTGTAGCAGCTACAGAAGATATCTTCCGGTGTGCTGTAGAGGGTCAGACCGCCGAGGCGTTCGTTCATCTAATGGCGATGTAACAGAAGGTCTCGGATCGTAAGTCCATCCAAAGACACAAGCCTGCTATGCCGAATAGTAGACATCGTTGAGTTGTGTAAGCCATAATATAGCTTGTTTTCAACGCTGAGTCTTGCATGCGATCACAATCGAAGCTATCCCGACATCGCCGGCTTGTTTAGGCGTGTGAAGGAGCGCCGGGTTCACTTTGTGCCTCGTGTCGTCGGTACTGGTCGAGCGTTTCCACAAATACTGCTTCTGGAGATTCCGGAGCTGTTTTTCAGCCCAGGCCGGGAGATCAAACACCACTGCTGTGAACAAAACCGACGGTAGCATGATGACATTTAGAATCAATACACGGATCTCGACACCTATGGTAAGCTGCGTCGCTGTGGCAAGACGTCGTTGGACGTTGCGTATGCGCGCTGCCCAGTTCACGTCCGTGAGCTCACCAGTCCCAAGTAGGTAACTTAAGTACCGCGTCGTTTCTCCGTGACGAAGCACTGGATAACCACAGAACTCCTCACTGTGGACAGCCAAGTATAAAAATGATGTTGCTCTTGCGTGGTTGCACCCGAAGTCCCGATAGACGGCCAAACTGTTCCAAGATCTGCAGGACACATGGAATATGCCTCGCTTCTGTTTAAAAGACAGTTGCATCGTCGACGAACGCTGATAATTTGTGTCGAGTGCCTCCTCCATGTATACGGTGATGCCTGGGTCAGTAGGGTCATCATGGATTGCCAGCGCAAGCACTTCCGCTGCGATGATGAATAATAAAGGAGCCAGCGGAAATCTTTGGCGGATACCCGAGCGCACTTCCTGTGTCCTCGAAAGCTCCCCCTTGATCAGAAAATTGTTCTGTAGACCCGTGATGAATCTTCCGAATCAT